GCAAAAATGGGGAGAGGGGGAAAATAACTGAATTTATAACTTATAACGATAATGTCACTTAGGTGACCATATAATTATTGCAAGGAAACTAGGATGAACATGGTTCTCCTGGCCTAGACCTGAACTATAAGGTGAGGCTCTGAAAAAGGACACTGTTTACCTTAGGTGAGGTTTATAAAAGCACCGAGAAAGCTTAACTAAGAGTTCAAAGTCTGAATAAGTACTGAGTGTGCCTATGTATAGTAAGGAGGTATTTCACAATGGAGAGAAAAAAACACCCAGATCAAATGTAAACTGGGTGAGTGAAGCAACGAAGAATATTCCTAATCAGAGATAAGGAAACTGTAGCTTAGATGATGTCAGATTCAACCCTGTCATCTGCTAATTCTCCGTGCTGGCTGGGACCAGTGCCTGAAGTAGACACAAATTCCTTGCCCTTCTTCCAGTGGTGGGTTCCGTATCCTGTTGCAACTGGTACGGTGGCAACGGGGCCCGGCGTCCACCACATGAACGCATGCGGTGTGCGCACACGTCCGCAGCGCGCATATGGGTCCTTACCTCTTATGATGCCTCCGCGAACCTCCGCGACACTCCAGCTGCTTGGCGGAGCGTCACACAGGCGCCGTGTGCGCTCCATGCATGGAAGCACTGAAGAGCCCAAATACAAGTAAGGTGCTCCGGCGGGCGGGTGGGCCCTCCGGAGCACCGTACTGGAAAGGTAGCCAGTGCTCCGGGCAGGCACCAGTACGCCTGTACTGGGGCGTACCGCCTGCAACCCCCCCACTACCTTCTTCCTTGCAATTTTATGTTATTTCTGTAAAAATTAATCAGTGGAACAACTTGCCTCTAGAAGTTGTAAATGCCCCAACACTGGAAGTTTTTAAGAAGATGTTGGATAACCAACGGGAGCAACTGTCTAATTGTTTTGTCATGAAATTTATTCATTTAATGAAAGGGATTTGGTGCCGGGAAATTTTAGCGTGTCCGTAGGCTCCCTTTTCATGCAGATCTGATCCTTTGTGGCCGTCCCATGTTCCATTCAGATTCAAATTGAAAATATTTCATGTACCTTCATGTAAACCTAGTTGTTTTGCCTATGTTTAATGAAAAGAAGGAGTAGGGGAGACATGATAACAGTGTTCCAATATATCAGGGGCTGCCACAAAGAAGTGGGAGTGAAGCTAATCTCCAAGGCACCTGAGGGTAGAACAAGAAGCAATGGGTGGAAACTAATCAAGG